TCAAGGGAATGACACATGGTCTGGAATGGGAAAACATTGCGCCACAATAAATAAGATCTATTTTTTGCGAGGAACTTTCGCAAATGTTAGTAACCTCAATTGATGGTCAATGTTGTGTTAATTYAACATATTGTTTGAGAGGGTACTGTATACTTTACTAATTTTTTTCAGAGAATATTATTTTGTGATTCGTACAGTGTCTGTGGTATAATGTAAATAATAGACCATGCCACGATGATCTTAGCAACTCATTTACTCATATATAATATAAACGGCATATTCTATTTTGATCAAAATTTACTTCACGAGAAAGTAACGTCAACTGGGAACAAGGTAAACAGTTATTGTTTACTGTTGTTTTACTCTAACCGTGAACACTCGAGTTTGTCRACCAATCAGATTACGGATTGAAAACAATAGCATTCAAGTTACATGTATTGAAAGTTCATAAAAGCTATTGAAGGAGATAGAATGATGAAAGAGAAAGAAAAAATAGAATGATAGAATTCAAGTTACATGTATTGAAAGTCTATAAAAATTATTCAAGGAGATGGAATGATGAAAGAAAAAGAAAAAATAGAATGATAGAATATGAGTTACATGTATTGAAAGTCTATAAAAATTATTCAAGGAGATGAAATTATGAAAGAGAAAGAAAAAATAAAAGTATATTTACAAAAAGAAAAGAAAAGAAAATGGAGTGTTCATGGTTTAAGTAAAACGACAGTTATAGTAATAGTTAATAGTGTTCAATAATCATTAATAAGGCTTCCTTCATAAACGGCATATTCGATTTTTAATATCTTACTTAACATTGCTTTTTGTAAAAAGTATTGTATCTGACTTCAACTGGGAACTTGTTTAATAGTAAAGGTTCAATAGTCATAGGGACCGTGTTGTTCATAGACGGCATATTCTATTTTGTTTAATAGTATCGTATCTGACCTGTTCATAAACAGTATTTATAATCTCTTTGATCAAAATTTTAACCTAATTTTAACCTCAAAGTAGAATCATTGTTTGATGGTCACATCAAATGAATGAGCTCTTATTATMTATATTTTAAAGTAATGCAGAAAGTTAATTACTATAGCTTGAAAGAGCTTGTTAAATCTGTAAAACTGTCAAGTTTGAAGAAAAAAGACTTCAACACTTAAAAGATATGATTTTTTAAAAGTGTAAATTTTGTAGGAAAACCTTTTTCGGGAAGCAAAAAATTTTGTCAGTGAACGTTTTCCTACAAAATGTTGATTTTTGAAAATTCATATCTTCTTGAGTTTTGATCTTACTTCCTTCAAACCTCATTCTTTTACCAATTTTAACATGCTATTCCATTTCCAGCTATGMGTTTTGGAAATAGGTTTATTGTTGCAAGTAGAGGCTTAGTTTATACACGAAAGCATCTTCTTTCTCACAGTTGAGCGATGTCTCTCCATTCTCCAAAATATCAGACTTGAGTTAAAGTGCTAGTCTTACGAAAATACTAATGACGCAAAAAAATCCCCGATTTTGTATATGCTCTAATAGGTCATAATATTCACCAATAAACAAGAATTGGTTCGAAAAAGAAAGTTTTCCCGTCTGAAAGAATTTGGACAGTAAGCTATTTTACATATATAGTTTTATATGGTACAATTTGCAGGGATGGTGTCATTTTCGTAAGACTAGCACTTTAACTCCAAAAAAGTTCATTTCAACTTTTTTTATAATGGACATTATCTTATTAATCAATATTTCCTCTTATTATTTTAATTGTTTAAATTTTCAAATTATTAATAATAATATTATGATACATATATATATATGTGTGTGGGTGTGTGTTTATTAAATTTGATCTAATTATTTTACTGAATTATAATTTTGACTTTACCAATATAAAATGAAATCAAAAAATATATAATATTGATATTTAATTTACTAACGAGTAACATTAAGATGTTAAAGAAATATAACTAAATACATGAAGGACTCACTTCACGAGAATGGTAATTTGATCCAGATGTTATGTGTTAACAACTAGATAGCCATCATCATTTTCTTGTGGGAATARAAATACTTGCTCAAAAGCTATTGCTTCCTGCTGGTTTCTGATTGGCTCCACTAACCTAAGTTGCATGTATCATATTCATTCTACAATTTGATTGGTTCTTGCTGTCTAAGAGGTGCCGGTCATAATAGCCACACTGTAATTTTGGTCTTGCATTGTTCATTGACTTGATCACTGTTTCCAAATATATTGTTGAAAAATCTTGAACCAAAGTTGTATAAAAGGCCATTTCCAGGAAATAATCACATGACTGTTGCTGGACGGCAAAAATATTGGACTTCCTTTATAGRACAAGTCAAGGATAGACTTGATGTGTTCATAAATTTGCTGTATTTTTTTTTATCAAGTCCAAACTCAACTTGGAACATTGTTTCTTGGTCACTAAAGTGAATTCGGGAAAGGTGTATATACAGCTATTTCAAAAAAATTTTGAATACTGAATACTGCATACTGAATAGTGCATTCCAAGACCAAAGGGCATTGTGGGTCTCGTTAATTTGAAATAAAAAGTAAATATACAGCAATTAACTCTCTGCATGTAATTAGTATATTGTTTCAGGTGGAATACACTAAAAATAGAATAAAAAGATATAACTAGCTAAAAACTAGTGTGAGCTGCGTCGGTGTTTCTAATGGAAAAGTAATGATGAAAAGGTAAATTATACACTGTGAAAAGATGAAAAAAACTTACTAAAAGTTTTACTTTTACTCTGACGAAGGACTAGCGTCCGAAACATCAGTAAGTTTTTTCATCTTTTCACGGTGTATAATTTACCTTTTCATCATTACTCACTGTAAAAATAGAATAAAAAATTATTATTAATCCAACTTTAGACAATGTCACTATGACCCACAATGCACTTTGGTCTTGGAATGCACTATTCAGTATGCAGTATTCAGTATTCAACCTTTTTGAAATAGCTGTAAATAACTTTTTCAGGATTACTAATATTTCCAAAAACTTCTTCAAAATATTTTTTTCCCCTTATAAGATACTTTTGATTTTTTTTWAAATAAAAAGCAATTTCAAGTTTGTTTGCCATCCAGCAGAACCTTCCCCAAGGAGCCTTTAGCTGAATTGATTCGTTATCAAAGTGATATATATCAGCATGTGACTGTGTGTTGCAAATGGCTTATTAGTGACTGAAATTCAAGTAAAAAAGAGGGAATTAGTGTGGCTATGTATTATGCTCACAATTCATGGTATTATGGTATAATTTTAAGTAATTATTTGACACAACCTTGTAGCCTGTTTGTTTAAATGTTTAATGGATGCAATTAACTAGAATAGGCCCTTTACAGTTAACGGTCACGTGTCTGTACTGGCGAGCAAATTTTWAAAATATTTTAAATTGGTGATTCTTTTTAGCTACTTGTAAAGAACTGAATGAAACGGTCTGTAACCAGTGTGTTACGAAATGCAGTTTTATTACGATCTCTCAAAACAGGTTGTAGAAAGTTTATTTGCTCACCAGTATATTTCACCCATGGCAATCAAGATGTTCATTCATTTGCACTCAGTGAATTAATCAGCACGTGATTGCTTAGCTGCAAAGGCCCTATTGTGGTCCATGTAAGGCTAACAGGAAAATGCAAAAGCAGTCATACTTTTTCTAGAAGGAATTTGTGCCATTTGTGCTTTTTCTATTATCTTGTTAGCCTCACATCAAGGATAATTGAATAGAAGAATTTAATTAAAGTTAAGAATATAAAAACGGAGCCCTTGCAGCAGTTCAATTTAAAGGACATAACAATATAGGTTTTCAATTCTCAGCAGATTGAAATTATTTTGTTTTGTCCTCCAAATTGAGCTGCTTTGACGTCACATGCAAGGGGTCAGGGCCGTAACCAGAACTTTTACAGGGAGGGTGCACATCGAATAAAATCGGATCACAATCAATAATTTGCAGAACTAAAAAGAAAAAAAGGTAACCAAAAGAAAGCAGAACCAAACAAAAAAAAAGGGGATGGATGAGCGGACCTTAAGCTTTTATGGCGGGGTGCACGTACACCCTGTGCTCCCCCCTGGTTACGGCCCTGGGTCTATAAGCCTATGAAATACATTATTTTCATTTAATATAAGTTAAAAATCATAAAGCTATAAACATTATGAAGGGATAAGTCCTCGTTTACATTGAATTTTATCACACTAGCCTCACATTATAAAATATTTGATTTTTTTTTTCATTAAGAAAGTTGATCTATTGAATCTGTCACATCGTTAGAGTGCAAACCATTTATCCTTGAAATAGCACAAATACTAATTAGCACAAAATGGTACCAATTAAACAATTAAAAACAAAAGAAATATACGTAATGCTATTTAGTTTTTTTTTTTTTTTGCTATTTCAAGGATATATCCATGAAAAAGTTAACCAACAAAATTGTACAAATTAGTGCAAAGTATGTAGGTCTAGTCTTACTGGGCTTACAATTGTGTGCAAATTCTTAAAATTTCTTTTTTGGGATGTATGGTTTACACTCTAAGATATGAAATTTTGAAGTGTTTTGTGGAATTTTTACAAAGAAATTTATGTCCAGCCTGATAACGAAGCTGATAATGCATCTATGCAATAACCATCCACATACATTGCTTAGCAGAAAAGAAAAAAATTTAGTTTTTAAATTTCAAATTTTTGTCAGTTTAAGGGCAATTTTTTTGAAATTTTACAACTTTGTCATAGTTGTGTGACAAATTCGATAGCTAACTTCTTTTCTCAATATATCAAGTATGTTATGATGTGACGCTAGCGGGATAATGGCCTATTGATCAAATTAACAAAAGCGTTTACAGATTTTGTTATGAGGCATAAACATTTCTATATTATACGACGGAAAGTTGAAAATGATATATTATATAAATACATGCATGAAATAAATAAACCTTACTTAAATTTAAGTTAAATACAGATTCAAAAGTTAATGATTAAAACTCTTAAAGGAATAGTAAGAGTGGTTGGTGTCATTTTGTCTGTAAAGCAGAATTATCTGTTAATCTAGTGAAGTTCCCTCCATAGAAATTCCAGTTCCCTTTCATGGTGAAGGTATGGAGAATTTCTGAAACCACCATATACCCTGCTAAGACCCTCCCCATTATCATCATCATCATTGCCACCATCGTCATCATCATTACCATCATCATTTGTCATCAGTCATCATTGTCATCACCATCATCATCATTGCCACCATCGTNCATCATTGCCACCATCGTCATCATCATTACCATCATCATTTGTCATCAGTCATCATTGTCATCACCATCATCATCATTGCCACCATCGTCATCATTACCATCATCATTTGTCATCAGTCATCATCATCATCACCATCGTCATCATCATTACCATCATTGGTCATCAGTCATCATCATCATCACAATCATCATCATTGCCACCATTGTCATCATCATTACCATCATCATTTGTCATCAGTCATCATCATCACCATCATCATTATTTGTCATCATCACACCTTTATCATTTAGTATGTTATCATCAACTTGATATTTATAATTTACATAATCATCATCATCAACATAACCTTTATCATTAATCATTTATTATCATTATTATTCATTACTATTAGATCATCATTATCTTTTATTATTATCACCAGCATTAAAAAACAATTTTTGATCAAATTTTAATGTCGATATGGTAGAAACATCTGAAACTTGATTTTTAGGTAGGGGTGGCCTGGAACTGAGGCTGTTGCTATGACAACTTATCTATATAGACTCTTCCAGTTCCACAGTTTCAATATTTTCAAGAKGGCGGCAAAAACGAGAGAGACTGTGGACGAGTATATTGGCTCCCAAAGCACGCTGGGTCCAAGTTTTCGGGATCCATAGTCCTTTCGGTCATTGTACCGTTACAGTCTCTAAGCGTGGAGACGGAACGGACAAGCGAGGGACTGTGGAAGAGTCTACTTATCTATATAATTAATTTTGAAGAACAGCTATAATACTATGACATTACTAAATTTGGTTGATTTTTGATTGTAGTTGGGCTGAGATTTTTTGTCATAATCCAAGGCTGGTCAAGTATTGAGGATATGACGTCATGGGCTCCATTTTTTTGACTCCAATATCTTTTGAAGAAAAAGAAAAATATTTGAAAAAGGAAAGCTATATCTATAAACCTATATTTCTATATTTGAAACGAAGATATGAGGGTGCGTTGTCTGCGAACATCTAGGGTCATCTAGTTACACCCTTAAACCATTCTCCTCTTAGTCTCCTACGCAGCCGCTTAGTGTAGTAAGCGTTGCGTGACGAAACTAACAGCGGCTATTTTACATTCTTGCGTGAGACTATTTGTAGCGTGGTATCATTCTGCACGTGCGACGATGGAATCTACAAGGTTGATTTCAGCAATGTTTCTCTTTGCGGTAATCGTATGCATCCAACTTGTTTCTGTGAATCCAGAACCAGTTGAAAAATGCCTCGATGGAAGATATCACAAGCCATCTCCTTCACCAGAGGGTCCAGATTACGCCGACTGTTTCTCGTGGAAGAACAAATCTTGCTGTACCGCAGAGTTTACTATCGAACTCAAGAAAAACCGAGTGGAAAATATCTGGAATTTCACGTGGAATCACTGTGGTAACTTGAGCAAGGTAATTTCCTTCTACAGGAATTAAATATAACTTGGAATTCTTCAGTTTCGTCGCGGAGCTTTTCCAGAGTTTGTACATGTGTTCATAGTAGACCGCCCGAGGCTAGCTAGACTCCCAGTCTTGATAGAATGTTTTGACAGCTGATTGTAATAGACGTACCTTGGTATGTCGTGGGTCCGTGTAACACTCCACAAAGAGCTTTTCAATTTAGTTGGC